AACTACTGTCAGCGACAAAGACACGACGAAACGCAGCCTGAAAGAATGGCACGATGCTCTTGGACACCTGAACCTAAAAGATCTACGTGAAGCCGCAAAGAATGGGTCAATAAAGGGACTAGTAACCGACGATATAAATGAGGATTTTCAATGTGAAACGTGCTTATTAGGAAAAATGACACGCCTTCCATTTCCGAAAAAGTCAACGAGAAAGTCAGAAATTGGAGACATCACACACTCCGATGTGTGCGGGCCGATGAGGGTGATGTCAAACGGAAAAGCTCGTTATTTCGTAACGTTCATTGATGACGCATCGCGATGGTGTGAGGTTAGATTTTTGCACCAGAAAAGTGACGTTCAAAAGGAATTCGAATCATTCAAAGCCCTCATGGAAACACAACACGGAAAGAAGACGAAATTTATACAGAGCGACAACAGGAAGGAATACGTTAACAAAAACTTCGACAACTTTCTAACGGATTATGGGATGCAAAGACGACTTACAGCACCTCAGAACCCGGAACAAAACGGAATTTCGGAGCGGAAGAACCGCTCTCTGGTGGAAACAGCAAGGTGCCTCCTCGTTCAGTCCGGATTGCCCCCTTACTTTTGGGCGGAAGCCGTAAACACGGCTAACTATATTCGGAATCGATCTCCCACAAGTAGCCTCAACGGAAAAACCCCGCACGAAGTTTGGCACGGAGTAGCTCCCGATGTAAGCGACTTCAAAACATTCGGACAAGAAGTATTTTGCCTCGACAGAAATTAGAGTAAAGGAAAATTTGAACCTCGATCGCGTAAAGGCACATTCCTCGGATACTCCGACACGTCCAAGGCCTATAGAATCTGGTTGCACAAGGAAAGGAAAATCGAAATCACTCGAGAAGTCAAATTTTTGGAAACATCACCGGAAAAACAACACAAGATAGACAACACACAACCAGACATTTTTCCTGAAGAATACTCAGAGACATCGACAGAAATCGAGAAGAGCAACACACTCGACATAGAACTCACAGCAAACGAAAAAGAAGATATCGAATCGGACGAAGACATTCGGCAAATCCCTCGACATGAAGGTGTACGACGCGGTCGTGGTCGACCAAGGAAGATCTTCACCGGGAACCGGGGAAGACCAAGATTAGAATACCATACAATTCCAGAAGAACCCGAGGAAATCGCCGATTTCGCTTACTTAACCGAAGTCCCAGTTCGAGAAGCCATGAAAAGTTCCGATGCTCAAGAGTGGAGAAGGGCAATGGCAGACGAGGTACAATCGATCCTGAGTCAAAACACCTGGGAAATAACAGATTGTCCCGAAGATCGGCACATAATCGACAGCAGAATGATTCTTCGAAATAAAATCGGAAGTGATGGACAAGTTGAAAAACGAAAAGCTCGAATAGTCGCGCGCGGTTTCTCGCAACGTCCAGGTACCGACTTTCATGAAACATTCGCGCCGGTCGCTCGTCTCAAATCAATTCGCGTAACACTATCCTTCGCAGCAAACAAAAAGATGATCATCCGTCAACTAGACGTGACTACAGCATACTTGAATGGAACACTGGATGAAGAAGTATTAATGGAGATACCGGAGTACTTGGAAGAGACACTCAAAATCATCGGAAGTGAAAATCGAGACCCTGAAATCACAAGAAAGGCAAGAAAAATGCTCGAGGAAATCTCTAGCGGTGACAAAGTTTGCTTGATGAAAAAGGCTCTATACGGACTTCGTCAGGCGGGCCGAGTGTGGCACAAAAGACTCGATAATGTAATTCGAAAATTTGTGGCAACTCCAACAAACTCCGACCCATGTGTTTATACGAAAGGTAAAGGAGACAACACGATCATCATTGTCACCTACGTCGATGACTTCCTAGTCATAGCAAACAATTTATCAGACGCTGACAGCTTCAAAAATCATTTGCAGAAGGAGTTCACGGTTAGGGATCTTGGACAGCCGAAGCACTGCCTAGGGATGGACTTCACTTTCGACAAAAACTGCATTCGATTAACACAAACTAATTACATCAATGAGATTCTTGATAAGTTTGGAATGTCAGAATGTAATCCTGTATCAACACCCTTAGAAGCCGGAACGAAACTCACAAACATCGAACCATGGAACAACAGCGACGGAAAGAAGCCACCCTATCGCGAACTTATAGGAGCGCTTATGTATCTGTCCATTACGACACGTCCGGACTTAGCTCACTCCACAAGCGTCCTGAGTCAATTCAACAACAATTTTGGAACGACTCACTGGTCCGCCGCAAAGCGGATACTGAGATATTTGAAGGGAAGCTCAGAATTAGGAATCGTCCTGGGGTCGTCAAACAACCAACTGACTGGATTTGTAGACGCTGACTGGGGAGGAAGCGTGGATGATGGCCGATCATACACCGGCTTCGCATTTACCTGGCTCGGCGGAATCATCTCATGGGAGTCGAAGAAGCAGAGTACGGTCGCGTTATCCTCGACCGAGTCAGAATATATGGCTCTGACTGAAGCCGCAAAAGAAACCGTCTATCTCCGACGTTTTCTGTCAGAACTCGGTGCCGACGTCCCACGTCCAACGAGAATCATCAACGACAACATCGGTGCTCAAAGACTGGCTGAAAACCCTATCTTCCATGCTCGCACGAAGCATATACATATCCGCTATCACTTTGTACGAGATCTACTGAAGGCTGGAAAAATCGAAATTCAGCACATTTTGACGGAGAAAATGCCGGCGGACATCCTGACAAAATTCCTACCAAAACCAAAACACTGAAAATGCACGAGTCTTTTGGGAGTTAACAAAAAGGACTAAATCTTTTGTGAACTGATTTATATTCATTGTGTTCTAGAGTCATAGCCGTTGTCTTGAGGGGGCATGTTTAGTTCTTCCAATTATTCAATTCAAACGGTTATTCGTGGGCTTTATTATCATTGTACGCTAACGCCATCTTTAATACTGTTCCCACCGGTAACACGGAACTGACTTCACTTCGTTGTAAAAAGCCTTCTCGGCATGTATCACGATTAAACCCTTTCAATATAAATTTAGTTATTTCGAACGTAAACGTGTCTTTATTTATTCTGCCGATCGTTTCGCTTATAAAGCTCAACAATTTTCATAAATAATAACATTTTTTGGAAGGATTCAATTACTTTTATAAATAGTAAAATTCTTTGCAAAAATTCAATTAGTATCAATACATTTTAATAAAATTGAATTAATCAAATTTTCAATTGTAATTATAAATAGACAAGATTATTTTTAAAAATTGAAAAAATTCTTTGTTTAATTCAATTATTTTCTAAATTTTTAATTAAAATTACTTTAAAAATATTATTTTCAACAAATTTAAAGAAACTAGGAAAAAGAATTTAATTATTTATAAAAACTATAATAACAATTTTGGAAGCCATTTGTAGATTTATTTATGTTCGTAATGAAATAAATTTAAATTTGATGAGAAAAATGGATGTGGCAATTTTTTTATTAAGTACTTCTTTTTAATTTGTATTTCATTAAAAAAATTATTTTGTATATTTAAAAAATGAAAAGACAATTGCAAAAAAAATAACATGAATCTAAAGCTAAAAAAAATTAATCATAGCATTATTTTTGCGTTTTCATTTTCAAAACCATTGTGGACTTCAGCCTCATAATTTTAAGCTAAAATAAAATAAATTGTTGTATTATGTTTACGTTTTGGTTTTTAGAAACTTTGCGGACTCATCAAAACTTTATAGTAAAATGCGAGAAAAATTATATGATTTTAGAAATGAAAATAATATTTTTTCTCCTAATTCATTGATCATATAAAAGTTGTGAACTTCTTCAAATGTAATTTTTAGTTCTCGTCAAATTGAAAGCTGTTGAATTATTATAAAACATATATGAATATTATTTTTACCTTCGTTTCATCCAAAAAATTACGATTCTTGTAAAAACTGTTAAAACCATAATAATGTTACTTATGTTTATTGAAAGTAATTCCAAATTATTATGCACAGTAGTAGCATTCCAAAGTTGTGAGACGAGATTTATGGTGCATGTTAATACAAAAATATAAAAAAATACATTATTATTATACCCGGGCCATATTCCGAATAATCGTAAAATATATTGCATTGGAAGGGGAAACATATTAAAAGCTTTTGTTCAAAAGTTGTGAGATGAGAGAAACATGTATAAAATGTTTGAATTTCTTTATAAAAATTAAATTACACTGTGAGAGAAAATAAAGTTTAAAAGTTGATACCTTTATGTAAAAAATTATTGAAGCTGTATACATAAGGGAAAGATAATTACAAAGTTATAGAATTTTGTTATAAAAATTAAATGAAGATGTGAAAGTCTTTTTTCTATTTGACAATTAATCTTATAGAATATCAAATTATAGGTTTTCTACATTCTATGTAGAGAATAAAGTTTCAACGTTTTTTTTTAATATTTAGAAACATTTGCATGAGGTTTTTTTAAATATTCGAAGAGGGGAAAGTTTTTATCTTTCAATAACTTAATAGAGTCGATTCCATGTGGAACTGTAAGTTGTCATATTAAATTCAGTTAAATATATTTTGTTATGTATAGATAATGTTTTATTTTTGAAGTATTAATTTATTCGTTACTTTAGTAAAATTTGTAGATTGTTAATACTGACCATTTGGGTAAAAATATTACTAAAATCTGAAGTAAATTTCTAGTTAATAATTTAATCATATAAAAACTGAATATTTTGTTCTTGTTTTATTACAAAAAAAAACGTTTTGTTGGTAAAAATAATAATTTCTCAAAAATTAGTTCAAAATTTCAAAAATATGTTTAGAAAATTTTTTATGTATATTCTAGTTCTAAATCTGAGTGAAAATTTCATTGATTCTGACTTAGAGTGCAATATATTGAAAATATTAGAATATCGAGACAATTTTGCAAAATTTTTGCAAATAGAAAACTTAAAGATAATTTATAATTTACCAATTTTTTTTAAATTTTGTATCTTCACTTAGAGTCTTGAAGCTCGAAGAACTGATAGATATGTTAATGATGTTTTAATAATCTGTAAGAAATTGAAAATTGAAATATTTAAAATTATTACTATAGATATTTTATTAAAATATAAAAAATAAAGAAAGTTTTATGTACGTTTAGTAAAGTGGAATGCGAGGCACTAAATATTTTTCCAGCCGTAATAGTCATTGGTTTTTGAGATCTTTGTATTATTAACATAATAATTTTTGCTTCACTGCATTGTAATTCATACCAGGGGATGAAATATGCAGCTTCAGCAATTAAAAAGCTCTACAATAATGAAACTTTTAAAACAAATAATTTTTTCTTATTGTTCTCTTAATAAAACTAAACGAGTCTAGTAATTTACTGAACTCGTTTTAGTTTTTAGGCTATTACTATACGCCACTTAATAATAATGTTAGAAGAAAATATTCTTACTTTAAAACTTTAAAACTTTTAAAACTTGAATCAAACCTTAGATTGCAGGTATTCTCCCAAAGCGCAATAAATGCTGAGTTCAATTAGCACGCATATTGATATGAATGTTCCCTTCATTAGCATATTGATATTATTTTCAGACATGTTCTGAAGAGAAAGTTATTTTTTTAATTTATAATACTAAATTTCATTAAATTATATTAATAATTTATCTAATATTTTAATATTGTTTAATAATGTTTAGAACTGAACAATAATAAATGTTAAACTTATTATAAAAACTGAATTACCATTAGATAAATGTACGCATTAAAACAAAGTTGCAGGGTTGCTAGTACAAAGTAAATAAATAACTGAAGAGAAAAAATTTCATTAACTCTATTCGCAAATTGTATCACTTCTTGATGTTTTTCACATAAAAAATTAATAGCCAATTTTTTTTTTAATTTAAAAACCTTATTTACAAAATTGTCCAATTCAAAACGTATGAACTCCAGTTTAGTAGCAATATGCAAAACCTAAATATTAATCAAATTTATAACAAATTTATAAGATATAATTATACTAGAATGATTCTGTGGAATAATTCTATACAAAAATTCTAGTGAACATTTTGTAGAATTACTCTAAAATAATTCTGTAGGATTTCTAGATAAATTCAAGTAAATATTTAGTAGAATTCAACAATTGAGGCCTTGGATCCAATAACTCGCCCGACGCTCGGAGGAACGCGCAACTGCCAGTCAGTGAGCAGTGAGCGCCTCTGGGCCACTCACTGCTACCCGACTGGTATTAGCGCGTACCTCCGAGCGTCGGGCGAGTTATTGGATCCAAGGCCTCAATTGTGATAAAATACTTGAATTTTTGATAACGACAATAACATCAAAGCATAAAAAATAACATAAAGCCTACGTTGTCTTGAGAAAATATTTAATACAAATTTGTTTATTTATAATAGTAGAAACAATGGTAACAATTCAAAAAATAGACACTTGTTTATTTCATGAATGTTAATTAAAAGTCATAGTCACATAGTTAAATTAATTAACTTTTTAGCTATTTATTATTAAAAATGATCACCATAGCAACATAAGATGAATCTGAGACACAATATATATTAGCCATCCAAGCGAGAAAAATAGTCTGATTGATGTAAATAATTTCGAAATTTGGAGAATTTATTGTTGAAAAAGGATATTTTACTAATAATGGTAAATATCTATTTTCGACAGAATCGGTGAAGTATGTTTGAAGAGCAACAAAAGGAAATATAAGAATGGTAAAATTATACATAAAAAATGTACACACAAAAAAGTTGTGACAAAATTTCACATGATTTTTCATAACTATCAATTTGTCAGGATTTTTTATTTTTGACCAATCATTTTTCATTTCCATTAAAACATCCTTCACATATCTATATAAACAAACATATAATTTCGTAATTTATTTAGAATTGTTTAATTATTTTTTTCATTAAATTTGATTACAAAAATTATATTTATTATGATAGTGTTTTACCTTCTCTTTTTCCATAGAATTGTGATTTTTGAAAATACTAACGTGACTAAAATAATATTACTTATATTTACTATAAATAATTCCAATTCGTTGTAAACAGTGGCGATATTCCAAAATTGGGAAGTTAGAGTTGTAATGCTGAATAAGAAAAAAGAATAGAAAAAAAGATTATTGTTATAGCCGGGCCATAGTCCAAATAATCGCAAGGAATATCTCATTGGAAGAGGAAGCATTTTATTCTTATTTTTATCAGAATTAAAAGTTTGTGATCAAAGTTGTTGGAGTATAGAGAAAGCATATAAAATGTTTGAATTCCATTTATAAAAATTAAATTACACTGTGAGAGAAAATAAAAGTTTAAAAGTTGATACCTTCATGTTGTGAGTTATTCAAAGAGAAACATAATTACGAAGTACAAATTCTGCTATAAAATATAAATGAAGAAGTGAAAGTCTTTTTTCTTCAATATTAATCTTATAGATTATCAAGTTTTTCACATTGTTTCTAGAGAATAAAGTTTCAACGTCTTTTTTTTAGACTACATGTTTTTATGTTGCATTAACTATTGAAAGAATAAAAGTTGCTTTCTTTGAAAAAATAAAAAATTAATATCTACGATTCCATATATTGTGAAATTAAAAGTCGTCGTTTTAAATTCTGTTAAATATATTTCGTTCATTTATTGCAGACTAAATATACAAATTATTTTATTTTTTACATTCAATTCAGTAGTAACAGGACTAGTTGAAAGTAAAACTATGTGTAATTGTTAAATTCAAATTTCAATCTGAAAAAAATGAAAGAAAATTTTACCCGAATGGTCCTATTTCGAATCTTGAAATCTTTACTTCATTTGCTTACTTCGTCAATTCGAAAATCAAACTTTTGAATAAGTCTTTAGGTTCAATTTGAATTTTACACATAAGAGCTCCCGCGTCCAATAACTCGATCTGCGCTTGAACTGAAAAATTCAAGCCAGTCAAGCCGTCAGAAAATGAAAAAAAATAAAAGACGGAATTTTTAATTTTAAAACATACTACCGTATAGAGCATAAAAATGCCCAAACTTTTTGTCTTTGAAATTTTTTTGTAGGACTTTTATTTTTAATAATAATAAACAAAAACTGAATTTTTTTTATTCTTCAATTTCATTGAATTTCAAAACATAAATCGACTTTTCTCAAACAAATCTTAATGAAATTAATTAAAAATTGATATACTTACTTATCAGGGTCTACCGAAGACGATGAAATGATTGAAACATTAAAAAATGTTTATTGCAAAATTATTTGTTAATATAAATACAGACCTGTCGGTAAATACATTTTCTCAACTTTGACGAGAAAAAGTGTGCGGTAAACTTTCGAGTTGAGACAACTTCCAGTGAGACATTTGTTTATTAACATGTGAAGAAGTTTTTTGGGAATTTTTATTTAAATCGGATGAAAAATAAAGAAGATACATAATGTTTAAAAAAATATGCGTCGTGCGGCGTTTTGACATTTTGACGCAAGAGGAGAAAACTATTGGAAACTATTGCTATTTTCTGTTGATTTATTTTAAAATAAGTTTATTCATGTATTATATTTAAAAACAAAACAATTCTATACTTTAGAATTGATATTAATTTATACTATAACTAACTATACTATACAATTGTACAATTCCTATACTTTATATTTTAATATTATTAAATTTTTTATTATTACTTTACTATTAATTTTTAATTTTAAACCACGTGGTTTATTGAAAAATTTAACAGCAGTAATAAAGTAAACTGTATTTTCTTCAAAAAAATACAAGGACCTGCTTTGTTTACATTAACGGTGTTGCGCAATTTCAAACAGTGGTCGCCTTTTCAAAATGGCTGCTTGAACATAAACGAAATTTCAAAAGGATTTTTCTCCCAATTTGGACAATTATTGCAAAATAGGGAAAAATACTAGTTATACTGAAATTTTGTTCTTTCATTTGTGCACAAGGAATTGAAAATCCAATATAATACACGACGTCTTCTTCTTCTTCTTCTTCTTCTTGTTTTAATGGCCTCTTGTTTAACAAATAGCCAGTACAAATAATGTTATATGGTAGGGTGAAATGTATAGTAGTTGTAGATTGGTTATTCCGGTATGTGGATTTGCCACAGTAGCTTCTAATGGTTCAGTGTTTATCAGCTGTAGTCAGTAGTGATACACTGCATTATCCTGGTGTGGTATTGTTGATTGCAGGAAAAGCAAATAATTTATAAAAAATGACTGTGAAAACACAACAATATTAGTTCCCTTGTTGGTATTGAATATTTCCTATCAGATTTAGTATTGGTAGTTATTTTACTTGTCGGATGAGTGTAAAAAGAATAAAAATAATTCCATCCTGACAGTCGAATCCAGTTTCTTGCTGTCCATGAACTATTTGAGCAGCTTAGAATCTCATATGTGTGGTATTGGTTAGGAAGGTGTGAGGCGGGAAATTTAAATGCTATGTGAGTGTTTGAAGGTATATTGCGTAAAAATGTAACTCTCTAAGTAGTGTTTCTTTTGCCATTGTCTATCATTGCCTCATTTATTCATTCTTCCCTCATTTTTTATCCCTTAATCTCTTCGACCCTTCCCTCATTTATTCATTCTTGGATTAACTTTTTTCTCAATAAGAATCATGTTTTTAGATCTGAATATTTCCCTCTTCGAAAAACTTTCCGATCTCAATAACTATTTCCCTATCAGGGTTGAAAATTAATGTGTCCAAAACAAAGCTATCAGGGTCGAATCTCGGTATTTTAGTTGAAGGAAATGAGAAAAAGTGAAGTCTGCCCGGTGATAGTCTTGGGCAGAAACTGAGTAAGTGATTGATATTTTGCATTTCCGCGCCGCATTCGCACCCGTAGGGGAGGTTCTAGCCCATTCTCTCAAAGTGAGAACCAATTCGCAGGTGATTGGATCTCAATCTATTTAATGTCACTATGTACCTTCTAGGCACTTCCAGGCCCTGAAACCAAGGTTTCTTTGTTTTAATGTTAATGTTTGAAAAATATCTATTCCGAGAGGGTTGTTCTCCATAAAAGGGCCAGAGAACCCTTTTCCAATTTTGAAAGTCGTGATTCATTAAAGGGATTAAATCTGCAATAGGGTAGGCCAAGGATCTGCCGAATGGGAGCTCAGCAGATTTTTTTGCCCAATTGTCGGCCATTTCATTACCCAGGATCCCACATTGTGATGGAATCCATAAGAAATTAATTGTAAAATTTCTAGATATAAGGGTTGATAACTGTTTAATTATTTTAATTGAGATGGGATGCAGGTTCTTCATGCAGAAAAGATTCCTAAGATTCATTAAGGAGGATCTGGAATCTGACAAAATTAAGATGTTGTCTAAATCCATATCAGAAGCGTACTTCAAAGCGGAATTAATTGCATAGAGCTCACATGTTTCTATTGTTGTAATTCGACTCAAACTAACACCAAAATTGACATTAGTGGCAGGTACAACAAAGCTTGCACATGACACATATTTCACAGGGTCTTTAGATCCGTCAGTGAAGATCTGTAAACTATCCGGGAAACGAGTTTGTAATAGATTATTAAGTGCATGAGATGGCTGTTGACTATCTTTAATTTCAGATCCCGAATCAGTGTCTATTATAGTTTTGAAGGGAATGTTTAGGTCATCCCAGGATAGGTCAAAGTATTGTAGCTTTTTGGTGCGTAATTTGTTGTCTGTAAGTTGTGAAGTGTCATTATAAGAGTTCAGAAGTGAAAGTTTTGTGTAGTATGTATTTTTTCGTTTTCGTTTTTGGGCAGTATTTGTTTCGGATAATAATTGAAGTTTTGGAATTAAAGGGTTAAGTGACCATGAGAAATTTTTAAGCATATGTTTACGATTTTGAGATTGTCTACGTAGGGCAAGAGGTGGTTCATCTATTTCGGAAAGCATAATGCTAATTGGAGTGGAACGCATACTGCCCAATATAACTCTCATACTTTATTAAGTTTCTTAAGCTGAGTATTGCTAGCTGCTGAAAAGAGCCCCACTCCAAATGAGCTCTCACGAGGCCTCTGTATATTGTTATCATTGTGACAGGGTTAGCCCCCCAGGTAGATTTAGAGATCGCTTTCATTATGTTGATAGCGAGAGAGGCTCTACGAGCCATCTTATTTATATGTTTGGCCCATATGAGCCTTCTATCCAATAAGATTCCCAAATACAGTAGTTCTTCCTGCATAGGAATTCTTGTTTCATCATGTTCAAGATATTTGCATCTTGAATTTTGATTTACTTCGCGAGAAAACGGCTAATTGGGATTTACCCGGTGATATTGATAGGCCTACATCCCCTAACCATGGTTTAAGCTTTGCTAATGCGCCCTTTAATTCATTAATAGCTTCAGTAGTGTTATCTGTTCTAATATAGAGCAGCAAGTCGTCAGCAAACATCAAACACTTAACCCTGTGAGGAATAATCTGTAGTATTTTACTAATAGCGATGTTAAATAATAGTGGTGACAGAACACCTCCCTGGGGAACTCCAATATGAGATGTTCTAGAGTTTTCTAGATCAGTAGCAAAATACAAGTTTTTAGAATGCACTAAAAATGAAACGAAATTGATTAATTTGTCGGGGGTACTCAATTCAATTAATCTTTCATATATAGAAGACGGTAGTATATTGCTGAAAGCACCTTTTGGGTCTATTGCTAAGACAATTGTGTGTTTGCCTCTTATATATCCTTGATGAATATCAGTTACAAGAGTCGATACACAATCAATTGTCGATCTGCCCTTTCGAAAACCAAATTGCTGTACAGGAATGCCATTTTTTGTCTCTATATAGTGCTCTAGTCGCCTGTATATTAACCTCTCGAATAACTTACATATTGCTGAAGTGAGAGAAATCGGTCTATAACCCTTACCATTAGGCTTCGGTAAAAAAATTACTTTTGTATCTCTCCACGACTTGCGAAATGAAGAAGACTCAAATAATTTATTAAAAATTGACAACAGATAATTACGTGATTTTGGGGGAATATGTTTTAAAATCGTACTAGAGACAGAATCAAGGCCCGGTGCTGTGTCTTTTTTGGTAGATTCAAGAGCAGTATTAAATTCAGTGAGTGAGAAGGGACCGTTATAGTTTGCATCTTCATTTATTCCACTTACCATTGGCATATTTGATGGGGGAATTCCTTCCTGAAACAGTTCACTTTGCAAATTGGCAAAGACATTGGAGTTCGGGTCATTACATAAGTCAGTGCGAAGTGGCTGTGTTGACGAGGAAAATGCCCTAATTTTTGACCAAATTTCTTTTGATTGCATGGAAGGGTTAAGAGAATTGCAAAATTTGACATAGGATTCTTTTTTCTTATCTCTAAGGAAATGTTTGACTTAGTTATCTATAATACTGAACTCCTGTCTATTTTCTTGGGATTGTGTTAGCAAAAATGTCTTACGAGCTACCCTCCTTCTATCGATAGCTTCTTCACATTCCCTGTCCCACCACAAGGGCTTAGATTTACGTTTACCTGACAGTCTAGAGGGTCTAGAGGGTATGTATTTTCTTCAAAAAAAAATACAAGGACCTGCTTTGTTTACATTAACGGTGTTGCGCAATTTCAAACAGTGGTCGCCTTTTAAAAATGGCTGCTTGAACGTAAACGAAATTTCAAAAGGATTTTTCTCCCAATTTGGACAATTATTGCAAAATAGGGAAAAATACTAGTTATACTGAAATTTTGTTCTTTCATTTATGCACAAGGAATTGAAAATCCAATATAATACACGACGTCAGGAAGTAAAATGAGAAAATTAGATGTGCCCATTAGGTGCTGCCCTCTGGTGGTAATTTTATGTATCGCGCATTTGTTTAACTTTTTCCTATTTTTCTTCCTGTCGTTGTAAATCTAAATAAATCTTTTACTGCCTATCATATTATAAATGTATAGAATTGTTTTTATTTTAAATATAATACATGAATAAACTTATTTTTAAATAAATCAACAGAAAATAGCAATAGTTTCCAATAGTTTTCTCCTCTTGCGTCAAAATGTCAAAACGCCGCACGACGCATATTTTTTTAAACATTATGTATCTTCTTTATTTTTCATCCGATTTAAATAAAAATTCCCAAAAAACTTCTTCACATGTTAATAAACAAATGTCTCACTGGAAGTTGTGTCAACTCGAAAGTTCACCGCACACTTTTTCTCGTCAAAGTTGAGAAAACGTATTTACCGACAGGTCTGTATTTATATTAACAAATAATTTTGCAATAAACATTTTTTAATTTCAATCATTTCATTGTTTTCGGTAGACCCTGATAAGTAAGTATATCAATTTTTAATTAATTTCATTAAGATTTGTTTGAGAAAAGTCGATTTATGTTTTGAAATTCAAAAAAATTGATGAATAAAAAAAATTCAGGTTTTGTCCATTATTATTAAAAATAAAAGTCCTACAAAAAAATTTCAAAGACAAAAAAATTGGGCATTTTTATTCTCTATACGGTAGTATGTTTTAAAATTGAAAATTCCGACTTTTATTTTTTTCCATTTTCTGACGGCTTGACTGGCTTGAATTTTTCAGTTGAAGCGCAGATCGAGTTATTGGACGCGGGAGCTCATTATTATTACTAAAAGGAATATTTAAAGTACTTCTTTTTCATAAAAGTCTATCTTATTTATGTAAAAAAATATAATTTGCAGTCAATGAAATATTTTTTCTCTAATACTCTTTAGAGACAAGTTATAATTTATGCAATTTAGCTCTGGATAATATACTCTCTAAATTTGAATCAGTTGAAAATAACTGATTTAAAAGAAAAAGTCAGTCACTTATTCAATTAGTAATATTTCTACTGACAATTAGTTAAAAATAACTGATGTTTCAGTAAATATTTTTTTACTGATTCAATTAGTTAAGTTTAACTAATTTTTCAGTTAGTTTTTACTAAAGATTAGATATTTTTAATTGATTCAGAAGCAAAATGTTAGTCACTGATTGTCAGTTAAAAACACGATTTTTAACTGATTCAAATTAAGAGAGTAGTTTGACTGGAAAAAGAGATTCTTTAATCCAAACAATAATTATCAAACAAAAAATATGTTTTGTTTTTAGGAATATTTCAGTGATCACAATAATTAGTCCCCTTTTTTATCCACATAAATTAATAGAATTTCGTAAAAATACTAGAAATCATACATATTCTATATATGAAAATTTTTAACTATTATAAATAAAAACTTTTATATAATATAAATTATAGAATTACTTAATAGAGAAATTATTATTTGTTTTCATTTTCAACTTTTTTGATAATAATTCTAATGTATTTTCTTTTTTTTTGTTTCAGGTGAGTGAAACAACATGTTTCCTGTCTAGTATATTTTGTAAGTAAGTATATATAGAAGGAGTTTACACCGTAAGCCTTAAATATAAGCCTCCGCGAGCATAAACGGACATGCCTCCATGAGGATATACTTGCGTCTGCGCAAAGTGTTAGCCTGCAGCTGTGTTGTGAAAGAGTTTGCCTTGACCACGTGTTCGCGCAGGCGCAAATATATGCTCCTGGAGGTATATCCGTTTATGCGCGCGAAGGCTTATATTTAAGGCTTACAGTGTAAACTCCTTCATATTGAAATATATATAGATACCCAGTAAACGAAAACTAATTGAAATGAATTAAAAAGAATTCACAAAGAGCTTTCGTGAATCCCGCTTTGTGACAAATACGAATTGGAGCCATGATGCAATTTTCCTGAATTCGTGAAACTGTATTGAACTTCCGAACCTTCTATCCGTACCAATTCACTGGACAAGTTTTGAGCCTTTAATTTTTTTCAATTCGTTAGCACGAATTCAATGCATTCCTTGGCCATTTCTTTCGAATGCGAATTCGTTTGGACAAATTGGTACATATTGAATTAAATTCAATTGAATATACAAAGAGCTTGAGTGAATCCCGCTTTGTGACAAATACGAATTGGAGCCTACCAAAAATGTTAATTCGTTTCAATTCATTTGAATTAGTTTTTTTTTACTGGGTAGGTAATCTTAATTTAAGACTTCCTTTCTATCTTAATTTAAGAATTTCTTTTTATTGGCCATGTATCGTCATATATTAGACTTTTGCAGCTCTAAGAACTGATATATAGGACGCCGATGTTTTAATAATCTGCAAGAAATTAAAAACCACATTTTAAAAAACAAACGTTTTTAAAGAATATTCTATCATAGGTTCCTGAAGTAGGCATCGATGCTTAGCATCGAAATACATTTTTTCTTATTTTTAGTGATAAAATTTTAACTAATTTCACTTCTTTCATTCACCTAGAAAATAAAAAAAATAGAGTATTTTTTTAAACTTTAAACCGTGGGAAAAATCACGTAATTTTTTTCTGTTTCGGTAAAAAATATTGTTCGATGCTGAGCATCGATGGCAACTTCCGGGACCTTTTATCATCATAATAAATATAAAATAAAAGTATCTACATTTAATAAACTGACGTGTGTTACAGTAAACAATTTTTCGGCAGAAATAGCCAATGGTTTTTGTGCTCTTTGTATTATTATCTTAATAGTTTTTACTTCACTAAATTTCAATTCATACCATGGAATAAAATATGCAGATTCACCAAGTAGAAAACTCTAAAATGTTCCAATTTCATTATAAAAATTTGAAAATAAAAATAAGAATTTTTTTAAAACAAAAAATTAAAATAAAAAATATTTAGTAATAAGAAATAAAGTAGTATTTAAAAAAATGAAAACTCGTACTTTACAAGATAAAAATTCTAGTCAAACCTTATATTGCAGATATTCGCCTAAAGCGCAATAAATGCCCAGTTAAAGAATAACACATATTGAAATAAATGCACCTTTCAATAACAAATTTACGTTATTTTCAGACACGTTCTGAAAAAAAGTAATTTTTTAATCACGGAGAAAAATGGAAAAATGATTTATGCAGTCAGTGTAGTACTCCTT